CAGACCGCGGACCCGGCAGAAAAGTGCACTTTTTCCAGACCGGCGGGAGGGCGGCGCGGGCGAGCCGGCCGCCTCGAGGCCCAGTTAACGTGGAGGAACGTGGACTCTTAACAGTGTTTTCCCTCGTTATAACCGGATTCTCTGTTCATTATAGAACGTTTGAAAGCTGTGGGACCGAGTAAAGCACAGGTAAACCACCAGTTATCGCCCCCTTCACCCGTTACCTTTTCTCTACAGATCAAAAACTAAACGTGCGGTCATTTCTTAGAACATCCTAATCGTACTGTCTATGCGGTTTTATGGCTTGCGTATGATTTTCATTTCATATTTTGTGAGCATTTTCCCTTGAAAACCCTGCATTAGCTCTGCTCATTGTTCCACACCTGGACAGACCAGAATTTAGCAAACTACGCTGGTGATGAATACTCGGGGTTTCAACACGTGTGTGTGTGTGCGCGCGCGCGCATTTTTATACACCTCTTGGTCCCATCTCTGAATCGTTTCCTTAGGTTCCTTTTGTAGAGCTGTCCATTACAGCGTTTGCCTGTCCAAAATCCTGTGTAAGGAAAACTACCCTCCAACCCTGAACTCCGCACTGAACGACCGTGGGCGGGCTGTCCCCTCTTGGCCCCGGCTGATTGGACCACGAAAGAACATCTGCTCAAAGTGTGTAGACTGGCCAAAGACCCATTACTTATCTAGTTTGGAAATACTATCTGGCCAATCAGATTCCCTCTTTAGGGAGTTCAAATAAGGAAATCCTGAGAGTCAAGGCCTAGATGTTTTAGACTTTCTCGGGTTTCTGTGTCTGTAGCCTCTTAATGTTTCTTGAGATCATTCGAATAAATTTACTTCAACTACAATAACCCAACTGCAAGGGCAGTTGGAATTACATGGTGAAAAAATAGGAGCATGCTTAAGTTCTTGATGACTGCTAAAGGCTTCTCAAAATGTGAGAGTTTACACTCGAACAATACATGCAAAGAAGTCTCCTAGATCTGCTTTGTATGTTAGCTTTGACAGAAGGAAGCTTGAAGTGCAACATCAGGAGCACTCAGCTTCCATTGTCTTCCTGTCCCTGCTTACCTGTATCCGGAGTCAGGCCCACTTGGAAACCTGGGACCCGGGCTGATCTCAGAGTTAATCCAAGTGCCTGGCAGGTACCTTTTCTTAGCTCCTCCTCCAAGATCAGACTGCCACCAGCTATGACTGATCACCTGATGCTTGGAACTCTGACTTCTCTGGGCATGTGTTTCTTGGCACAGTCCAGTCAGGATGTGACCTCACTAAGTTTAACATTTTAATCAATTCCAACTTCTGCATGTTTATCACCCAATGTTCACAATATAGAGTAACATCTAAAGCAAATAATTCCTTATTAACACTTTACTGTAAATCTCTGAGTTCAAATTCTATTTAAGACTTTAAAAACACCATCATCTGCTGGGGTGTGTACCAGGAACAAAATTTGTCCAGCCTCCAATGGTCGACTCCTTTTTTGCTTGTATACCCTTTAGGGCAGCAGAGATGATGTATAAACTAGGTGCGCCTGACTCACTTTTCCCCTTCATTCCCTTACAACACCTTCACATAATGTATCAAGAGAAATACAAAATGAATACAATGCCCACAAAAATTATTTACTTTATTCACCATTTGTCTATACCTTATCCTATTGCCACAGAAGCCTAACACTAAGTTATTACACATCTTGATTCTTTGCTTTTAACCTTTAATCAGAGAATTTGTACAGGTATGATGATCAGTTAAGATAACCACAATTTGTAAATAATTATGTGGATAATGGCTGAAACTTGCATGTAGAGTTCAGAGTCTCATCGCTGGATTGTACTTGCCAATGTTGTAAAAAATATTACAATTCATATGTGAAATGCAAATCAAAACCTCAATGATATTTCATTTTATACTTTCCAGATTGGCAGAGACTTTAAAGTCAGACAATAGAAAGTAATGGAAGGGATTTGGAACAACTGGAACATTTATTCACTGCTGATAGGAGTGTAAATCACTGCAACTGCTCTGGAAAATAATTTGGCATTTTCTCTTAAAGCTGAATGTTCATATACCTTTGATCCAGCAGTTTCTTGCCCACATTTATCTCCTGGAGAACCTTGTGCACAAGTGTACCAGGAAACAAGTTCAGTGATGTTCATAGCAGCATTATTTATGTAGCAAAAATATGGAACTAACTCAAATGTCCCTCAATACATATATAGATGAGTTTTGGTATAGCCATACAGTGCTATTTGTAAAAGTGAAGAGAAAGCTGGTGATTGGAATGATAAAATTGACTTTGCTCTTGGATTAGAGTAATATATGAAGAGCTCAGTGACGTTTGGGTCACACTGAAAACATCAGTATGAGCATATTGAATGGATAAATCTCAGAAACATAGTCATGAGTGAAGGAAGCAGGTCACAGAGAAATATATACAGTATGACTCCATTTACACGAAGTCAAAAGCAGGGGAGCCAAGTAGTGTCTTGTGTGAGGATACAAGTATCTGTGATGAAACTATGAAAAAGAACAAGTGATAGTGATCACAAAATTCAGGAGGACAGTGACCTCTGAATGGGGAGGGAAGGGAATGGCACTGGAGGCTTCAAAAGTAATGGTCATCCCCTTTCTCTGGGGTGATGTGATCATGTATCTTTGTTTCATCACTATTCTTTGTATCTTACATACATTTTGTAAATATCATTTTCTGTCTGTTTCATATTTAATAAAAACAAAATGTTAAAGCTTTCTGTAGGCATTACTACCACCTGTTAGCACATTTTACATTAACATCTTCATTGTAGTATCATCAGAATCTCGAGGTTTTTCTACAGACTCAGCTTGTTTGTATCAGACTATAATTACCACTTTCTAGATTCCGTGTGTCACTGCTCAGGATAGTGGTCTTTTATTGTATTACCCGCTCAGCACCTGTGGGAGGCAGCCTATAAAATGGTCCTCAGGGATCTCCGCCTCCTGGTCTTCACGCCCCATCCCCTTCAATATGAACTGGACCTATTGGTTCACTTCTCACAAACAGAAGACAGCAAAAGGGATATGTCACCTCAGAGATGAGATTACAAAAACGCTGTGGCTTGTGTCCTGGGTGCCCTCTCTCACTCTCTCACTCACCTGCTGTGAGGAGAACCAGCAGCCATATTGAGAGCTGCCCCATAGAAAGACCTGTGTCAAGGGGTCAACAGCTAGCAAGGAGCTGGGGCCTGGCAACAGCACTCAACAGTGAGTGAGCTCGGAAGCAGGTCCGCTCCCACTGAGCCTTCAGATGGCCGTACCCCCAACCAACACCTTGACTGTGGCCTTGCCACAGACAAGATTTGAATCAGAGACATCCAACTAAGCCACACCTGGATTCCTGACCTACAGAAACTCTGTAATAGGAAATATTTGTTGTTTTAAGCCACTGGGTTTTGGGGGAACTTGTTAGCAGAAGTAGATAACTAGTAACGGTTCTCTTTCTTCTTCTGGGAATAGTCCCCTTGTTTGACAGAGTTTTATCATTTTCACCACTTCTTTTTTTAAAAATTTTTTGTTGAAGGGTAGTTGATTTACAATGTTAGTTTCAGGTGTACAGCAAATTGATTCAGTTATACATATACATACTATATATTTTTTTCTTTTCAGATTCTTTTTCATTATATGTTATGAGAAACTGAATATAGTTCCCCTGTGCTATATAGTAAGTCCTTGTTAATCTATTTTATATGTAGTAACGTGCACCACTTTCTCATCTTAAGTCTAAATAGATGCTGCCATCTTCTTATAAGATCCTCTCTTACTGGTCACACAGTGATTGGTCAACATGTGGGCACCGGCTCCAAGCTGGACCAACCAGAGTACCTGTTACAGACAGTGTAGGTTGCCTGTCCAACATCCGTTTCCTCTTTTCTCCTACTTAATAGAACCATGCCTCATGGGGACAGTCAGCCAGAGAGTATAAAGCTGATGTGCAGAGATGTGGCAAGAAAAACCAAGAGAGGCATTGTATTCACGTGGAACCT